AGAGGGGACATAGAAAGGGAATGGACTGACTATTCTTGGGGGGGAAGGGGTGTGGGGTGAGGGAAGAGATTGGACAATAATCGTGCACCTATGGATGAGGACAGTGGATGGGGAGTGAGGGCGGAGGATGGGGTGGGAACTGGGAGGAGGGGAGTTATGGGGGAAAAAGAGAAACAAATGTAATAATCTGAACAATAAAGATTTAATTAAAAAAAATAAAGGGGGAGGGACTAAAAGGGAAAAGCCTGTGCAATGAATGGATCTTGTACTTGCCCACTTTTCAAGGTCATAAATCCCCCCTCTTCAATTGCTTGGAATTTCTGTAACCCATGATTGTCAGCTCTTAACCCCACTGGCTATTTTAAGACCCCCATAGTTTGCAAAGTTCCATACCTAATTCTTTCTGGGAGTCTTTATGGATTCCATTCCTTAGAAAAACAGTTTAGGTTTGTGTTTCATTTTAGACACTCTACGAGGCAAAGATGGAGTCTGAATGGCAAGATAGTTATTCAGAGTAATGCCCATGTAAAATCAAGGGGAGGAGGGGCTAGAATAGGCAAGGACAGCCTTCAGCTAACACTGCTGATCTAGCACCTATGAAAAGAGGGGGCAAGAATGGAAGTATGGTTATGAAGAGCTTCAAACATTGGTATAGTTGGGAGAAAGTCTTGGCCCACCCAACAGGAACCTCTAGCACCAAGATTTTCCGTACAAGAGGTCCACATTGGGCAGAACTTGCCAGGGCCTAATACCGCCTAACATTTTCAGTCACTAACGGTGGGCAGCCTGGGAAGAGCATTGCCTCAGTTCAAATACTGAAGCACAGCCCTATGCTCTGCTAACTCACTCCTTTCAGAATCAACCATTGCTTCCTGGAGGGAGAACCCAGTGGCTCACCTCCTTGGTGCCACAGGTATAAATCTCAGGATTTGGTGTTTTAAATGACACTTGAAAAAGAATATTGCCAGTGGCTTTAATACTTGGTGGGTGTATTAGAATTCAGAACAAGGCCTGTGAAGGCAAATTGTCCACTGGGAAAATTCTGCCATAGCCAATTGTACTGAATGTAGAGTCCTTCGTTGAGATTTTAAGAGGATTACGTAATACTATATAATAAAAACCTAATATGGTAATTGTCCAACCATTCGTTCGACTGTTTGAACAGTTGCTATGACACACACTGACAACCAGGGGGCAGATGCTACAACTGGTAGGTTAGCTTGCTGCTGGAGTCCAACTGATGGGGACTGGGTGAGATGGGCCAGACACTCCCTGGATGACTCTGTGTACTGGGTTGGTTTCAGCCTGATCCTCACAGGCCAGGCGGGGGGACCCCACTGGTGTACAAATCAGTGCACTGAGCCTCTAGTAAGTATATAAATTAAAAATCTCAGGAGAGGACAAAATGGCGACCAGCAGGAAGGTAGGGAGGGAGAGAGTGTGAGAGCGCAAGGAAGTGATAGAGGAGTGTGTGGACCTGTGTGGTGTGTGTGTATGAGCTAGGGACAGTTAGATTCTGCAGGTCTTCTAAGGGGCTGCTAAACCAGGCAGTCTTAGGCAGCGGAGTCCCGCTCCCTGCGCGGACACTCCTGGGCAGCCAGCACGGACACAGTGAGCACGCCATCTTGGGAAACAGAGCTGCTTGAGATTAGGATCCTGGCCTCATCACCACCCAGTCTGATCTCAGATGCATACCAGGACCCTGCAGCCACTGGGGACAGAGACCTGTGACCACAGCTACAGACCTGTGGACACCAAAAGTTCAGAAATCCCTGCAGCAGATCCCTGAGTAACAGAGCCTATCCCCCCTTCCTGCAGGCTCGCGGGCAGTGCCAGAGTAACTAACTGATAGACCCACGCCTTGCCGGGGCCTCAGTGCCACAGGAACTTTAGCCTGGACGTGCCCGGGCACCTTGGAACTGATCCCGCATAGGGCTGACTTCAGGAGTCCTGGGCTGGGAGCAAACGCACGAACCCCAGGAACTGATCCTACGCACACTGCTGGCTTCAGAGCCTTGGGCTGGAAGCAATTGTGGGAACACCGGGAATTTGTCCCACATAGCACAGGTCCAGGGACCCTGATTCTCTGGGCAGGAGGTAG